CACTTGTGATGATTCTCGTTGTGCTTCCAGTTGACTTGTAGTAGATATATGAGTTTCTTTTGCCCGCTCATCTGCAGAAGGAAAAATAATAGCAGTAGGTGTGAAATTAACCACCAGACGGGAAGTAGCTGAACCGCCCACACCAACAACACCTTCTTTACCAACTTCAGCTAACACAACATTGCAGGCAGTATACACTGAGAGAATGAAAACACACAAAACGTAGTGCATTATCATCCCAATAATTCTTGCAGTAGTGTTACTTCACTGTCTTACCTAAAGAAGAAGGAGCAGAGAAAAAAACAGTAACAAAGTGAATCAATACAAAAAATAAGAACACCCCACATTACATTGAACAATTACAGCAACAACACACACATGACAGAAAGCTACAACTATCACCCAGCTAGTGTTCAAATCAAAAAAAAAGGAAGCACACACTACCAGTATTAATCTGAAAATACCAATTGACCTGAAACAGAAAAAGCAAAATCAAATGTGAGAGAAACAAGAGCAGGAAACACACACATATAAACAGCTCTCTCTTTTATGGTAAACGAAAATTAAAATATGAATAAATGCGTAAAAGTTATTATTTTTCCCTCTCCACATAACAAACCAAAAAAAAAAATTGCACGGCAAAACAAAGCACACAACGCCCCAGCAAGCAAGCAAGCAAACAAAAAACAGATATTAACCATTAGCCCAATTTACCCAATGAACACAGAAATACACCAACTATGGGTATAACTCTATATGTGTGTGTGAATACGCAATTATAAATATAAATATTCATCTGTTATTATTATTGTCTTTTTCCACTGCAAAAAACAGTTCATCATCATTACAGTGCAAGCCCAGGTGCACACACAGAGTGAGAGTCTCCAAGAACACACACACACAATGGAGTAACAATAATAATTATTATAGGATAAACACACAGAGCAAAAACACACAAAACACATTAACATTAAGAAACAAAAAAAGAAGAAAATCCCCAACAGGTGAAAGATTAGTTAAACTGTAGGGATGTATGCAAAATAAGAAAAGAGAAACCAAAGGATGACCTGAGTCACACCACAATAATTAGCACACAAGAATACAGGCCAGTGTCGCCACAATCAGTAGTGGTACACGCACCCACACAGAATTGCTGATACTGCTGCTGCTGTCTGCATCACCCTTCTTGTTGTTTGCAGTCTCAGGAGGAAGTGTTGTTGTTGTTGTTGTGGTGGTGGTGGTGGTTGTTGTTGTGGTGGTGGTGGTGGTGGGTGATTCCTTTTCACTGGTTGATTCACCCTCCGCAGGTCTATTGCCGTTTTCAGTCGTTGGAGTATCAGAACTACTGGTACTCTCTCTCGCTGAACTGCCAGAAGGAGGAGACGGTGTTGTTGCGCTTTCAGTTTGACCAACACGTGTAGAGTCACTACTGTTCCCATCACCTGGTGAAGAAGATGTAGTGGAAGGAGCAGCAGCTTCGCCAGAAGCGCCTGCAGGAGGATCGGCAGCAGTTACTGCAGGACGTGGTTCACTGACAGTTTCTTGGGATCCCCGCACACCTTGAGCAGCAGATACTTCCTGTGTAAGTGATGCAGAGTCTCTTGTGGCAGGTTGCGGATGAGGGCCAGCGCCAGCACCAACACCAGCAGCAGAAGAAGAAGGATTACAAGAACCGCCATTGGAATCACCGGCACCAGCTTCAGGACAAGTACCAACAGCTCCATCTTGACCAGGAGAAGGACCACCAGTAGTAGGACGTGGGCCACCACCTCCACCACGACGACAAGGGTGAGCATCAGAAGATGCAGAACCTTCAGGACAACTATCAACAGAAGCAGCAGCAGGAGGACCAGGGGGATGAACACCAGGTGCAGGACCAGGAGAAGGACATTCAGACCCAGAAGAACCAGAAGTGCAAGGAAGAGCTTCAGGTTCTAAAGCAGCCCCGCCAGCGGAGACGCAGAGAGAAGCAACACTCAGCAGGAAAGCAAAAAAACACAACACGCGTCGCAGCACACTCATCACGAAAAAATTTAATTCTCGTTTGTTTTCTTAGGTATATGAACTGTTTAAGAAGAAAACAATAAAATATAGCAAAAGTAAAATATATTAGAAACACGCCCACGGGAAGGAATGCAACAAACAAGCAACGATCACTCAAAAAAAGAACACCAACATAAACAAAAAAAAGAAATAAACAGACACCTCACACAAAAAAGCCCAAGCAAAAACAAAATATAAACAATTTGCGAGCACAGCCACTACAGCCACAAGCTGCATAAAAATAACACAGAGCCCGTACTGTGCATTTGTGCATAAGCAATTATGAATAAATACGTATCAGTTACTCTTTGTTTCCGCAGAAACTAAATCAGTACAAGACAAACCACACAAGCAAACAAACACAACAGATATTAACCATTAGCCCAACGCACCCAGTAAACACAGAAATACACACCAACTATAGGTGTAAGTCTATATATGTGTGTATATACGTAATTATAAATATAAATTCATCTGATATTATTATTTCCTTTTCACACTCCAAAAGGCAGTTCATTATCATTATCACAGTGCAAGCCCAGGTGCACACACAGAGAGAGTCTCCAAGAACACACACACACACACACAATGGAGTAGCAATAATTATTATTATAGGATAAACACACAGAGAGCAAAAACACACAAAAAACACATTAACATTAATAAGAAACACAAAAAAAGAAGAGAAATCCCAACAGGTGAAAGATTAATTAGACTGTAGGGATGTATGCAAAAAAGAAAAAGAAAACAAAGGATGACCTGAGTCACACCACCACCACCACTACAATCAGCACACAAGAATACAGGCCAGTGTAACCACAATCAGTAGTGGCACACGCACCCACACAGAACTGTTGATACTGCTGCTGCTGTCTGCATCACCCTTCTTGTTGTTTGCAGGTTCAGGAGGAAGTGTTGTTGTTGTGGTGGTGGTGGTAGAGGTGGTTTCTGTATTTCCTCCCTCACTTTGGGTACTTGTTGATGCACTCTCTGCAGATGGAGTGGCGTTTTCAGTTGTTTCAGTATCCGCAGCTCCGGCACTCCCTGTGGTTGAACTGCTGGAAGAAGAAGAAGAAGCTTGTGGTGTTCCACTTCCTTGGCTATCTGCACTTCTTCCTGCTGCATTGTTGACACTGTCTTCATTTTGGCCTTTACCTCCAGGAACAGCCTCAGCGGCAACTGAAGTAGGTTCAGAATCACCAAGTGCTGGAATACCACCAGAAGCATCAGCAGCACCAGGACCACCATCACTTGAAGTACCACGAGTACCAGAAGGACCAGTAGCTCCATGTTGATTTAGAGCTTCAGATTCCCTATCTTCAGGCTTTTTAGGAACTTCGGGTACTTTAGCCGGAGGAACTTCGGGTTTTTTAGGAGGAAGAACAGGTACTGTTTTCTCAGGAACCACCTCTTTTGGTGCGTCGGGAACTTTAGCGGGAGGAGGCTCGAGTTTCACTTCAGACGCCACAGCAGAGACAATTGCCACACTTAGTAGCAAAGCCAGAAGATAAAAGAAACGGTTCAGCAGCATCATGACAGGAGTTAGCCTTCTTGTTTTTGGGCAATTCAACTATACAAAGAAACAGAGAACAAGAAAAAATTCATAGTAAAAACAAACAGTCCATAAAGATACTCAGAAAGAAAGGTAAGAGAACACACCACAAAAAAGATCTGTCACAGAAAAAGAACAAAACAACACCAGTCTAAACAATAAAGTGTTCAGTAGCCAAGCACACCTCATATAACCCCACGTAAGAAACAAAAATAAGAACAGGACCATTATTAGTCCTTAATGAGACTATTCATCCTCTCAAATCTAAAGAATGTAGCATGAGGTATAAATCCCAATCAGTAATATTCCAGCAATATCCAACGCAAATATAACCCACAGGCAAACATAGAAAGAGTTCCAGTTCATTAGAATTATCATGAAAACTTTAAAATACCACAGAGAGAGAGAGAGAGAGAGAGAGAATAAGAGGTCCAATGTCTTTATTGTGGCCCTACACTGCTCTTCAAAGCAAAACCATCAATGTTCACATTAGAGAATTACATCACAAGAGTTCAACAACAGTGGCGTCATCTACGTGGTTCAACCACAGTATATGCAAAGATACTCTGGAGCATATTCTCACTTGCCTCCCACCCTCTATGAACACCGTAAAAAGATTCAGCCTTAAAGGAATGAAAATACCTGAACCACAGTTTAGCAATGCAGCTGTCCATATATATTTCTTTTGTGAACTCTATTTCAACCTCCCTGACTCTGCCTTATCGGCCCTCCTGCAGTATAGTGGTAAAAGGCCACAATACACCCAAAGCGAAACCGCCCATTGACTATAGTTTTACTTGCAGTGTTCCTTTATGCCATCAGCCCAATGCATCAGCTTGCATTTAGGCCTGCAGCCCAACAGAATGGAATGGGAGTGTCTCCAGTAAACATCACGCAAGGTGTCCGGATATCACAATACCTCCCACCTTCAGGATGACAGTTCATCCTCAACCGTCTTGAATGCATGTACATGTGTAAAGGAAGAATAATAACGCTGAAACAATAAAAGAACACAGGGAGAGAAAATAAATAAGAGAGATTACAACAGTGCAGGCAGAGAAATAATACAAAATGTAATAACTACAGATAATAGTCGCAGACAAAACCATGTTTACAATACCTATCATCAGTAGGACTCCACAGAAAAAAAGAGAACGCACAACCCACTGTACTGCAGAGGACCAAAAACTAAACAAAAGATCAAAAATTAAAAATTAAAAACTCGACCAGATGCCATAGCACATACAGTACTACAAAGGTACATCCTTCCATGGTCACATATAGGAAATTATGTATTTATATACTTGTTATTACTTTTTCTCTATGCACACAAAACAATCCACACAAAGGTAAATCAAACAAAAAGAAATTAACAGATAGCCCATGTTCTACAGTAAACGCCCAAATACAAATACTATCAATGTAAAACGTCGTATACTTAATTATCAATATATGTATAAAAGTGTATCTGATATATATATTTTCTCTCATTGCACAAGATAAGTTGTCATTGGTGGAAAAGAAAAGCAAACAGTAGCCCAAAAATAACAATGGAGTAGCATGTATAGAATATACAAAAAAAAACAAAAAAAAAGAGAAGAAAACAAAGGATGATCTGAGTCACACCACCACAATCAGCACACATGAATACAGGCCAGTGTAACCACAATCAGTAGTGGTACACGCACCCACACAGAACTGCTGATACTGCTGCTGCTGTCTGCATCACCCTTCTTGTTGTTTGTAGGTTCAGGAGGAAGTGTTGTGGTGGTGGTGGTTGATTCTTTATTATTGGGTGTATTGGGAGTGACATTGTTTGTGTTCGCTGAATTGTTTGCCGTTGATGCTGCAGAATTATCACCTTCAGCTCCAGTGGCTTGAGAAGATTCAGAAGGAGGAGATGGTTGTCTACCTTTTTCTTCTCCGGTGGCTGTATTGGTGTTACGTGCGCTATTATCATTGGATGTGCGTCCACCTTGTTGAGAGTCCTGTGTAACTGTAGGGGTTTGTCCATTTACTGCCAGAGTACGATCCGGTTGTTTCTCAGGAGCATTTGTATTTTGTTGAGGGGCCTGTGGTGTTTTTGGATCACTTTGCTGTTTACCGTTATTACCAGCAGACTGTTGCTGTGCTCCCACACGGCCAGTACCTGTTGATTGTTGTCCAGGAGTCCCATCAGGTTTAGATGAGGCAGAAGAGGATATTTCTGCTTGTGAAGGTGGTTTGAGACCCTGAGAACCCGGTTGAGTCACTCTATTTCCGTTATCCACTTCTAACGGTGGTTGAAGCTCCTTATCCTCTTCTTCTTCTTCATCGTCATCGTCATCCTCGTCCTCATCGTCTTCTTCTTCATCTTCTTCCAAATCCAATTCCTCTCCCTCCTCTTCATCATCATCCTCTTGTTCTGTGTCATCTGTGTTACGTTTAGTACGTTGAGAATGAATTTCACTCACTCTTTCAACGTCGGATTTAAGGCCAGTAATCAGAAGGTCAGTAGAAGGATCTGCAGAAGCAAGCACGGCAGCAGGTTCAAGAGGACTTTTACTATCAGCCGACACGCACACCAACATGGAATAGAGTACCACAGTTAGCACACACAACACACATGAGAACAATTTCATTTTCAGCGTCGTAATAGTAGCACGAGAAAACACTACCACCAAGAGAAGCAAAAATAAACAACAGGCAAGAAAAACAGAATAAATGGATAGAATACAGATAACCACACTGTAAGGAGAGTAAATAACAAAACAGAAAGATAATAAACACAACACATAACACAAAAACACCAATAAAGAAAAAAAAAACCCAATAAAAATGCATCACACACACACACAGGCCCAAGAAAAGAAAAACAAAGAAAAAAAAGAAATTAAGAGCACAAAACACACAATCCAGAGACCATTGCTTATGTTTGAGTTAATAAGCATTAATACTATATTTGTCTTTTATTCTCTTACTTTTCCCACGGCATATCATCATTGCCGCAGAAGAAAAAAAACAGCGACCCAGCAAACCATAAGCAAACAAACAGATATTAACCATTAACCCAATTTACCCAGTAAACACAGAAATATACACCAACTATGGGTGTAAGTCTATATTTGTAGATAATATGCAATTATAAATATAAATTCATCTGTTATTATAATTTCTTATTACAACAAAAAGCAGTTCATCATCATCACAGTGCAAGACTAAAAGAACATACACATAGTCTCCAAGAACACACACACACAATGGAGTAGCAATAATAATTATAGGATAAACACAGAGTGCAAAAACACACAAAACGCAATAACATTAAGAAACAAAAAAAGAAAACATAATTCCAACAGGTAGAAGATTAGTTAGACTGTAGGGACGCAAGCAAAAAGAAAAGAAAGGATGGCCTGAGTCACATCACCATCACCACCACACATTCAGCACACAAGAATACAGGCCAGTGTAACCACAATCAGTAGTGGTACACGCACCCATACAGAACTGCTGATACTGCTGCTGCTGTCTGCATCACCCTTCTTGTTGTTTGTGGGCTCAGGAAGAAGTGTTGTTGTTGTGGTTGAAGTGGTGGTTGTTTCTGTATTATCTGCAGCACCATCTTGGGCACTTGTTGGCTCCCTCCCTGCAGGTGTACTGTCATTCCCAACATCTGCAGCTTCCGTAGGTTTCGTTCCATCCGTTTCCTGTGTTGAAGATGTGGCAGGAGGTTGTGCAGACGCTGTTGAAGAAGGGGATTCTGTTGCTGGATCATTCTGGTTAGCTGTATTGTCACTGTTTGCACTATTGCTTTTAGCACTGTGTTCTTCCTGTTGAGACACTTCAGGGTCTGCAGACGGTGTTTCCTGCAATGTCGGAGTTTGGATGTGTGGGACAGTAGTAGCTTCATTGTGTGTTTTGGGAGGGGACTGAGTGTGTGCTGCGTCGGAGTTTTGTTGTAGTTGATTCTGTGTTTCTGCACCTCTGTGTTGACTATTGGTATTAGTTAGCTCTGAATGATTCTCTACTGCAGGTTCACTATCTTGCCTCTCGTTGTCACTCGCTTCCGTTCCACGTAGTTCCGTGTTAAGATCATTATCTCTAACTGCTGGGAGAGTACCACGGCCCTGAAGAGCAGTAGAACCCGCTTCACCTCTTTCACCCAGAGGTCCAACAGGAGCGGCAGGAACACGAGCAGATTCAGATAGCTTAGGGTCATTTTTACACTCGGAACCAGTACTGGCTTCACAATTGCTACCGCCAGAAGAAGGACCTTTTTCCTCTCCAGCCGCCACACACACACAGGCAACACTCAAAAACAGTACAATAAAATACAACAGTCGTCGCAGCAGCATCATGCGAAAAAAGTTACTTGAATCGTTCACAGTCGCCAAAACTCTAGAACAAAAAGATTAAGAGAACCCAATACAGAATAAAATTGATAAACACAAAAACAAAAAAGGAAAAACGGAGAAAAAGATAAAAACAAAACTTAGCAAAATCACAAGACAAGGCAAAGCGCACAAATAATAAAGAGCCCAACAAAGGTACACAACACAATCAAGTTCAAACAAAAGAAAAAACACAACAAATTAATAGCACGATCAGAGCAACCATCGAATGTAAAAAATAATTAGCTATGGTTGTGTCCGAGTTCACATGCAATTAAAAATATAAATGTATAACAATTATTTGTTTCCCATCAGAACAAAACGTATCACCGAAACGGTGTAGGTCAAACCACACAAAACGCACCAGCAAAATCAACAAGCAAAGAAAAAGATATTAAATATTAGCCTAACATGCACAGTAAACACAGTAATACACCAACTATGGGTATAAGTCTATATATGTGTATATATAAGCAATTATAAATATAAATTTATCTGTTATTATTATTTCATTTTCCCTTCACTGCAAAAAACAGTTCATCATCATTATTATAGTGCAAGCCCAGGTGCACACAGAGTGAGAGTCTCCAAGAACACACACACACACAATGGAGTAGCAATAATTATTATTATAGGATAAACTTAGAGAGCAAAAACACACACAAAACACATTAACAATAAGAAACAAAAAAAAAGAAGAAAATCCTAACAGGTGGAAGATTAGTTAGACTGTAGTGTGGATGCATGCAAAAAAAGAAAAGAAAACAAAGGATGACCTGAGTCACACCACCATCACCACACAATCAGCACACAAGAATACAGGCCAGTGTAACCACAATCAGTAGTGGTACACGCACCCACACAGAACTGCTGATACTGCTGCTGCTGTCTGCATCACCCTTCTTGTTGTTTGTGAGTTCAGGAGGAAGTGTTGTTGTTGTTGAGGTTGATTCTTCATTAGTATTGGGTGTAGTGCCATTCTCAGGTTCAGATTGTGTGTCTGTACTTCCTTGAGACTGTACAGCATTACTGTTACCTGCATCGTTAGTACCTTGCGTACTATTCTCGTTGGGGGAACTTGGTGGATTTTCAGACTTCTGCTCCTCACTAATGGGAGTAGGTTCCTTTGCAGTGAGAGAGCCAATAGTATTCTCTTCAGTGCCAGAATTGGATCCACAATTATGTCCCGATTCCTGCCTCTCGGCTACTTGTACGTTAGTCTGCGAATCCGCTTTACCGCCACCGTGAATTTGATCGTTCTGATTTGCTGATGGAGAAGGGGCTCCATCCTTTCTCTCTCCTGTTACTGGTTGTGATGAAGTGGCAGGTTGAAGATAAGACTGAGTACTATTTCCTGGTAGTGGAGTTTGTGAAGTGCTCTGAGGACCAACTGGACCTTGATCTTTGTTAAGTTCTGATTCATCCTGACTATCTAACAGTTCTTTTTTAGAGAGATCTTCTTCAGCAGAATCTGGCAATTTTTGTGCGATCATTCTTTCTTCTCTACCTTTTCCTCCTTCTCTCCACCTACACCAACAAGACCGGTTCCTTCTTCAAGACCACTTTTAGGTTCATCACCTTGATGTTCAGTTTCACTAACTTCAACTTGAGGCACAGTAGTAGCCAACACGAAAGTGCAAGTACAACACAGTGAAAGAAGTATAACACACAACACGTAGCGTATCATCATTATCATTACAATAATTCTTATTGTGTCTTAATTCAGTGGTCTGCAAAAAATAAGCAAGGAAAAAAGGTGTTAAAAACAACGGTTCCTCCCATTAACGTATGAGAGATATATAAAAAAGACAAGCAAGAACAAGAAAAAAAAGCAGTATAATGAATATTTACTTGCAGAACAAAACATATAAAAACAAAAAGGTCGATAACACAAAAAAATAAAATCCTCAGACATCTTGCCCATAAGCATGAATATACCATTGGAGTGCCTTCTTCTCAAGCATGATGGTTTCCAATTGGTCTTCTTCTGCAGCTGTCTGCCTCTCCAGGTCCGTACAC